TGGTCGTGTATGTCTTTCAGCAGTCAATAAGTAGTTAAAGGCATAAACCCTTTATATATAATTTGGCTGGGGAGGGAGCCTTCGGGGGCATCTCACCTCTTAGGAGTTTGACACATAACTGGACTAAATGACTCGTTACCACACACCATACCCAGCAGGTCCCCCACCTCCCTTTCCCTACACCTAGCACTCAACTCTGTTTATTTTTCCCCTCCGAGGTTGAGGGGGGCTTACACACGTGTCTCTATATTCACAACAAATAATGACTATATCTTGAGGTATTGATCTTTTAATTTCGCTTGGACTCTGAGTAATGAGCTTTATTGCATAAGTCTTCATTTTTCTTCTATCTAATTAAATTACTGCCTGCATTTAAATAGCATTTAACTTCAGTCAGTTAAGCAGTCACTCAGGTAAAAGCCAGTAGGCATTTTTACTGAATGTGGGAAACACATCTTCTGGGGCCAGCAGCAGCACTGGGAGACTTGCAGGTAAGTGTTTCTACTTCGCCATTACACACATCTGGGCTGGAGGTCTGAGGTATACTGAGATGGGGGGAGGTATTGGGGATGATTATATCATCAACCCCCACCCCAACTCCCTCCCCTCACACCCCCTTCCCCTCACTCATACACTGCACTGAAGACTCTAACATGCTTTGGGGATAGGACAACTTTTTAGTTTAAATTTCTCAGACCGACTTGATGAAATAGCCTCTACCATCACTCAGTAACTCAGTAAAGGCAGTCTGTCAGTCAGTCAGTCAAACAGCAACAGTGGACTGCTCACCTCACCACCACCACCACTGGACTAAAGACTATAACAATATTTCTGTTTCATTCATTTAACTTTTAAGAGTAAGTAAAAGCAGTCAGCTAGTTAGTCAAACACTGGGGTAGTGGACTGAAGACTGTATAAGGCTATGGGGATAGAATAGTTTTAGTTTAAAGTTCCCTGAAAATGTTAAGCATGTTTAGCCCTCGCTCCATTATAACAAAACACCAAATAAAATATTACTATACCCCTGTTTAGTTCTTGTAACACATTATATCGTAACATAACGTAATGTAAAGTGGAAATCAACTTTGTCTGATGTCCAAATAACATTGTGAAAATGTGAAGCATGTTCAAAAGCACCATTACATCCAAACACCAAATAAAATTTTACTGTGTAATTGTTAAGTCCCTGTAACACACTCAATGTAAAGCAATGCGGAAATCAGCTTTTCTGCCTTCCAAATAAATATAATTTTTAAAATGAAGATTGTACCAGGCTACGGGGTTCAAATCATTGCTACTGTGTGTTTTACATCACATAACGTAACGGGGCCAACATGCAAATACCTTTCTATTAGTGTGTGACTGTTTTTTCAGTTCTTGTAACACAGTCAATGTAACGTAATGCGGGAAAAAGAACACTGCTTTTCCCAAAACAGCGGTGGGTTTTCTGAGCGAAGAAAACGTATGCCTGGGAGCTGAGTCTTACTGGCCAAGCTCCGCTCGCAACGAACCAATGTTATATAAGCTCTGCCCGCAGACTGGGGGCCCCCCTGTTCTCGCCAAACAAGCAGCTGCTCACTTACAAAACGTAAACACAAAAGTTTAGCCTGCTCAACTGTGCCCCCAGCATGGACTCTACACCAGTTCCTATCGACAACGACTCAGAGCGATCCGTCAGGGGCGTCCTGCCCTCCTCAACATCTAAGGTACAGTTGTGTCTGTGTTTTCCCC